ATCAGTCCATACAATGCGACTGATGTCATAGAATAGTTAGATTAGCTTCAATGAATGATGATTGTAGTTGTAGCACTCACCAATCTATTAGTCATGCAAAAGCTACTTTGAAAGACCTCATTCAACAGCCACTAGAAGCTGAACCAACCATTCTTGAGAGAAAGGCAGCTACCTGTCTCGTTTCACATCTGTTGCATCAATAGGGTGATGGTACTATTTTCCCACAACGAAAAGGAGCTGTAAGTATAATGATTTAAGTGTAATAAGAATAAATTATCCAAATAGGCTATAAATCGAGTGAAAGTCTCAAGTCCAACAGTCTCATCCAGTCAATCATCTTCCAGAACTAAGCAAGCGAAGAGATATCTAAGATGAGACATCAGTTTAGCTTGGGAGATGACAGATGCCAGATCATGTCGGTGCTAAAGATGTTACCATCAGAACAGCTGGACAAGCTATTGAAAGAGGCAGGGTTTTTCTTACTATCCCTCCTGAACAAGGATTAGCCAGAAAGCTAAGAGTAATGAAGAGGTATACGTTTATATAATAAAGAAGTAGAACTACATGTATACTTACTGAATAATGAATTGTGATAAATCTTTATGCTCTAGATGGATGAAGTCTTGGGGAGCCAATATGGCTAGTGAGGGTAAGCAGAAATCCCAAATGAAAAAAGCCATTTGTCAGAGCTACCAGTTGAAGGAGAGTCCGTACCATTTGCATTTAATTTGAAATACGGTGGTTACGAATCACGTCCAGCTCCAATATCGTATGTCAATGACTTGCAGTCAAAGCTAATTCATCTGCTTGAAGAGAAACAGAGGTAGGTATTATGAATTAAATTTCATTTAAATGTAGATACATGTACTGTACATGTAGATTAAATCAGTAAACCTGGCATAATGGTGTCATTCCTGATAATGAGATCTGGGTGAAGATAGAAGATAAAGGTGGTTCCTCATTTAAAACCTCAATCCAGATGATAAACATCGACAAACCCAACTCTGTACGCAATAGTTGTGTGTTTGTTGTGTTGGAGGCACCTGACTGCTCTTCAAATCATCACATCGCTTTGAACAGGCACCATGATCAAATAGACCATTGACAAAATTCCTGTTGGAGGTACATTAAAGAAGTAATTATTATTGTCAATTTTTTTGTCAATTATGTAGAGGTTGCACTGTCAGAGTATTTATGTCAGGTGATTATGAATTCTTGTGCGACATGTATGGGTTATCGGGAGCATGTACATGTACATGTACATGCATATAATTATAAAGTTTTACCTTTCGAAAATGAGGTCGTCACTACTGCTTGGTGTTCTATATTACGGGACCAATTAAGTATTCCACTTGTAGCACAATACAGTGACATTAAGACACTAGATTCTTCGTGCTAGAACTACAAAGAATTCATGAACAATGGAGGAAAGTTGAAAAAAGCCATATTTCACAACAATGTAATAGGAAAGAGATTCTTCAATATTAGCCTGACACAAGTAATACTGTAATAGCTGTGGTTACTAAGAATAATGTACTTATAGGTATGTCCACCTGGATTACATATTACTCTTGGTATTTTCCAACGACTGTTTAATCTCCTTGAAAATGATTGCCATGAATTGGATCTCCTAATGATCACAAAATATCAGCATATCACCAAATGAGTTTCCTCTTCTTTCCATGAATATACAGTGCTAGACTAGCAAAATCAAGTGTAGAAGAAGAGAAGGCTCATGTTTTATCAGAAAGAACTCAAACCCAGCAATCCCTTATACAACTGCTATTTACTTTACCTGTTGAATCTCAAGCCCAATCTCAAAAACATTCTCAAATACAATCTATAACTTCCATCATCAATGATAATAACAGACGATTGGCAGATTTAGTAATTTAATAAATAGAATAAAATGAGTTTATTTACTGTGAAACTTTTAGGAATCTTTACTGAGTCAGAAAAAAAAGTAACCATCAAGGGTTTCAGCAAAGAAGACGATCCTTGTGTTAAGCATTTGACAGTGCTCTGGCTTCTTTTAACGTAGAACGTCAAACATATCATGGGGGATCACTCATTGGAAATCACATACATCAAACATTGAAAGTAAATTTGACATATTATTGTCATCGTAATCTCATTTTAGCCCAATAACGTGGAAACATTATGCTCAAGTGTAGTGGATACTGTCATAAAACATCAATCTAGCCAGGATTTGATTTCCAAAGTGTATCTCAGAAGTTTTTAAAAGCTTTTTCACTGTTTCATAAGTGTAATGAATTATATGATTCATCATCACTGTTGTCAGACAGTCAAATTACCACTTAGGTCAAAACACATTCTATATAAAACATATATGTAATAATTAAAATTATTAATAGGTCTTCACATTGACCTGTTTGTGGAATACTACCGGACAACATTCCCTGATGCCACATTTATACCAAAACCACATGTTGGAGGACCATGTCTAGACATGGGTAAACAAACGGCGAGTTGAATGTGGGATGATGGGGGAACAAGGTGTGGAGTCCCTCCATGCCCACTTCAATGCTACTGAAAGATCATATAATAATGTGAAGGACTGAGTCCAGAGACTCGTACTTCAGGCCCATCACCTTCAGTTAATGCCTGCCAACACATCACTTGAGCCACCTCTTATGAAAAAAAGGAGGACAAAGTCTGAAGTTTCTGAGGCTGAGCAAAGCACACATGCATGTAGCACTCCAAAAAATAATTAATCATACTTGCATATAATCATGCACAAAAATAATCATAACTGTTAGTATAAAATTCTAACCTAGAAAGACTCTATTTTACTCATCTGAAGAATAGTTGGAAGCAGTAAGGACTAAGTGCATCAATGCCATTACTTCTTCATTAAGATCTAAGAAACCATAAGCTTTAACCGTACTAAATAATAATTGATAAACAGTAACTAAACTACTAGCTATAATTATTAGCTTTTGTTGAAAATTAAAAAAATTATAATTGCAAATATTTTATGCCATGCCCCATTATTTCAGCCACTCCCATTTAATGTTTTTACGTGTCTGTCTATTGAAGAAGAGATACCGCGATGAACTCTAATGCTACTACTATTTCCAAGCGCTCCAAACGAGGAAAGGGCAGAAAAGAGAGGCTGAAACATTAACTTGAATTGCTGAAAGCTGAGAGGGAAGATATTAGACTGGAGTCCTTAAGATTGGCCAGAAGGAACACAGCACTGAAAAGGTTTGTCACAGCGACATATATGTATAATATATATCATACTAAACAGGTCTATAAACAAAAATATAGACCTGAGGTCGGTGTCAAAGGATGTGAGATAGCCCAAGGGCTATATCACATCCAAGGACACCCACCAAAGGTCTATATGATTTGTATAATGACCAGTTCTAGTATGTTATATAAGATATATTTCATAATAATGACAGCATTTCTGAATGGCAGGTATATATACAAAAATATATACCCGACCACATCAAAGGATGATGTCATAATTATGATATATATATATATATATATATATACATATTAATAAATGAATTTTGAAAGATTCTTATTTCTAAATTTCAGTCTTTATCATGACTCATATTTAGGACACTCCAAATGTCTATTGTGCCTAAAGGTTTTGTTTTTTCTGGCACCTTGTCAAACACATCACAGCATTTGGTGGGCAGACTCAGGACAAGTCCATTAGTGACTCGATGTGAAGTGATACCTCTAAGTGCTCTAAATGATATTCATTGTTTTCATGAAGAAGAGATTTTTATTGATGAGGCAAAGGTACTGGGGAGAGGGGTTTTTGGAAAATGCTACTATGGATCAGCTGGTCCTCAGTCTGTCTGTGTTAAAGTTTTCAGGAAAGATGTATTATATAGCTCTTCATATAACAATGAGGCATACATGTTGTCTCAATGTCGCCATCAAAATATTTCCTTCCTTTTTGGACTTTTTTTTACATCTAATTGGTATAAAAATTTACTGAAAGCATTCCGTAATATAGATTGAACCTCATACACTGTTCACTCAATGCTTGATAAAGATGTTACTCTTTCCTGGAAAATACTGTTACTAGGAATAGCAAGAGATTTGCTGTATCTACATAATCATTGAAATGGTGTGATTTTACATAATGACTTAAAAGTGATAATATTGCTCTGGTTAAATGTGGAGAAACCATAGAGTCGCATTATAGATATTGGCAAAGCATGCTTTGAAGAAAATGCTACGCTATATCATTTGCCCTCAATAAAAAAAGATATATACAAGAAAAATCATCAGATTGTGCCAGATGTGAGGGACGGTCTTAAAAAACAATCTTCATCATCAGATGTGTACTCTTTTGCAGAATCATTATGTCTATAATCAATATCAAGAAATTGACCTTACCAGGTTAGTCATCTATTACGGATAGATGTCTGGAGTATAGAATGGAGAAGCGTCCTAAATCCAATGAATTGTATGAATTTATTAAAAGTATAATGTCAATAATACTAAGTGTACAATAATTATGATCACTATAATAGGACAGAGTGAGAATATAGTCGAGAGAAAGAGAGAGGAAGAGGACAAATTAAGGTTTAGCAGATTTATATTTGTTATGTTATGGCCACAATGTAAATTTATAACAAAGTACACACACTTGTATTACTTACACTACAAGTACATGTGTGTATACGTATTAGCTCTTATAGTTTAAATGTGCAGGTAGAGAAAGTGACGGTAGGGGCATGTAAACATATTATTCCCATTTGTTAATATTTGTACATCTCATTTGATAAACTATACTTTATACTAAGTCTCATTTCACTCCATGTATTTATTAACTGTAATACATGTAGCTTTTTACCTATGCTTTTTTAGTGCTGCCTTGGTTTCTACATTGTATGGGAGCAAGGGCGTAGCTAGCATAAGGCTAGGGTAGGCTATAGCCTACCCTGAAGTTCAGAAGTCAGAATTGAAGTTTAGTAGTTTACCTATATTGAGTTTCTGCCTTAAGTCACTTATGACCAAAGATTATAGAAGTTTAGGGTAGCTGTCTCAACTGGCAGTTACTCACTCAGTCACTTTTGACACAGGCAAACAGAGACAGGAGAAAGAAAAGAAAAACAGCCATTTTAGGACAATTACTATAATTTATTAAGGTGGAGTCTTTACATAATTAACTTAATTAATTAGCTAGCTTAATAAAATTATAAAAATTTAACTTTAAGCGAAGCCATTACAATGCCAGCTGCAAAAAAACAAAAGCTTTGTGAATTTTTATGCAATTTTTAGTTGAGTATATTAGTAGTCAACCACAGCCATATAGACTATTTGTACTGAAGATGAGCATGAGGAGATTGAAGATGATGATCTTGTGAATGATGATTTTGTTGATCGTGCTGCTACCTTGAGTCTTGCCTGAGTCCTCATCTGAGTCTGAGTGTGAAGCAGTTAATAGAACCATAGATATTAGAGTAAATGAATCTCCATATTGCGAGAACAGGCCCATTTTGCGGCCGTAAAAGTGGGCGTGGTCAAATTGCGGTGCGCTTCGCGTCCCCTTTTTTGCTAATAGCCTACCCCTTCCTTTTTTTCTCCCTACGCTCTTGTATGGGAGTATAGTTGGGAAATGCAGAGTAATCTGATTTGTGAAAAGCTGTGCTGTACATACTTTGTTTCATTACATGGCTTATGTTTAATTAAGAAGAATCTTTTGTTTTAATTACTGCATAGCTTGCCTTTGTCTTCATTTACACGCATTTGTAATATTGTGGTTTGTACATTGTCATTTTTGTGCTACATGGAAAATCTACATTTAACAGGCTGTACTCTGTTCTTGTACAATGCAGATTTCTTATTTAATACTCTGTTCTTGTACAATGCAGATTTCATATTTAATAGGGTCTTTACCCAATTTTGTGTAAACAGACTACACAAAGGCCCTACACTTCTCTGAACACCGGAAGTGCAGGAAATCATATGGTTTCACTCATGCTGTAATGGATACCCACTTATTTCTCTTACATAGACACTTAAACAGTGCTGTAACTAGCATCATTAAAAGAGAAGTTGCTTGTTGTAAAGAAACAAGTTTTGATCTCTTGTGCGAAGTTTAAGCAAAGATATGCCATCGTGAAAATTATTTGTTTAATAAAAATTGTTTGACTTTGATTTTTGTGCAAATCATTCACAGACTACCTGGAACCTCTAAAGTCTTTCCATAGACTTAGGAAGGTATAGTCTACATGTCCTGCTAGTTTCAATCTTAATGGAGCATATAGAATTGTAGAAAAAGTGCCGTAAACTTGGCCACAATTAGGCGACCTAAAATCCTTTAGATACAAGAGCTGTTCTCTTTATTTTACCATATACAGATAGAACCAACTCTCCTGCTATTATTAAGAATGAGCTGCATCTGTGCTTCTGTTTAGGAGATACACTTCTACTTGCGCAGCCACCATCTTCACTTTTTAGCCACAAAGCAACTTTGATTTTTGTGCAAATCAGTGCAAGGCCTTTGCCAAGTGTCTGGTACTGTACTTACCTTTGCTTAATACATTGTGAGACTCCTCAGTTGCTGGGTCTTATTTTATTCAGGTAAATTTTCCCTCAAAGTTGCTATGTTTTTCAAAAATTGCCTAATTATCAGCTTATCAGCTACACGTGGTTCAAATTTTGAATGATTTTAATTATATTCATAAGCCATTGGCAATGAATATCATTTTATCAGTGACGTATCAGGAAGTGAAGCCATAAAGGACCCGTTCACAATTGTGTAGGGCCTTCGTGTAGACTGAAAGTGTGAGGTTAAAACTAT